CTGTAAAATAGGTCAAATAACAGTTAACCGACAAACACACTAGACTCGGGCTCCATTAGCGACCTTAAGCAATTTCACACATTCGTTGATTCAAGAAATACCGTTTTATCATTATTGAACTTTAATACCGTGATAGAAAATAGGGTGAGGGGTCCTTACTCGTTTCGGAGTCCGAACACGGCTTCACAGTGCGCCTACAGGCTGTCCCTAATTTTTCCTGAATTTTTTCTGGGGAACTGAAACGCACTACCGGTACTTGCACGTGTTTCAAAAAATCCCAAATTAGGCCCAGGGCCCCTTTTTGGCCAATATCGCAATTCCGGCACGGCGGCTCCGCCGTGCTCCGGCGACGGCGCCTCCGCTTGCGGCGGTGATTCGCCTCGGGTTGAACGTTTTTGGCCGTTTCTGGCTGAATTCGGCCACACTTGCATCGGTCCCTGCGATAAAACAACCCTAGGGCCCTCGGGGGGCCAAAAAATTACGGAAAACCGAAGCTTACCGGCGGCGGTGCTCTCGGGTGCGGCAGCTCTCCGGTGAGGTTCGTGTTTTGGTGATTCGGCTCTGATCAACCTGTAGAGAAAAGAATGGTGATCACGGTGATATAAAAATTGCATCAAACGGAGGCCGGGAAGGGCCTCATCGGAGGCAAAAACCGAGGAGGGGCACGGCGGCGCCGCTGGGTTTCGGCCGTGTTTTCCGGCCGTTTGGCCGGGATTTTAGCTCTGATTTGGCCACATGGGAAATCAGCGTGGAAAAACGAGTCAGGGGTATGAAATTTACCTCGATCGGCGGTCGAAAATCTCCCCGATGCGGCGGCAGGTGGCGGCGGCCGGCTTCTCCGGCGTCTGGTTCGTCTTCTCCGGCGAGGGCAGGCGGCAAGGGTTTTTGTGGTCAGGTGTGAGGGTTCTATTTATACCCTTTTGCCTTTTGATCTCAGCCGTCCATTTTGATTTAATATGGGCCGTCCGTTTTTGATTGAATCTGGGCCGTCCGTGCGATTGCATCTGGGCCGTCCGTGCGCACGCTTGATCTAGGCCGTTCGATTGCGCGTACGCGGATCGCCAACGTGGCCCGTTCCCGGTCGACGTGGTCTTGCCACGTGGCAGGTCCTGGTTGGCCAGGACTACTGACTGGGTCTGCTGACGTGGCTGCTGACGTGACGCTCTTTTTTTTTAACTTAATAAAAATAATTAATAATAAAATAACCAAAATTTCCCAATTTTCCGAGCGTTACAATTTTGTTCATGCTAGTAAACTAGAATCTAGAGCTCTTAAATGTGTATTTGTTGAATATTCTTCTACCCAAAAAGATTATAAGTATTATTATCCACCATTTAGAAAATACTTTGTAACTATGGACGTTACCTTTAGGGAGAATGAGCCTTTCTTTAACTCAAACCCAACACCTCTTTAGGGGGAGAGTGAGAAGGAAGAAGTGATACCTAGTTGGGTAACGATTGAGAATCATATTCAATGGGAGAATTCTATTACAAAAAGTCTTAATCAAGAAAATAATGTTGGATGTCTAGATAAATTAGACTTGAAAAGGTATTCAATAATAGAGAAGTCTGAAAAAGTTATTATGCAGTCTATCCTAAGTCAAGAATCTTCTTTGATTCCAGAAGATACTAGTGAGTTATCTTTCTCTTCTGATTTATCAGATAAACCTATTACTATAAGAAAGAAAATGAGAACTTATACTAAGCACTTTATGTCTAACTTTGTTTCCTATGACTCTCTATCTCCCTCCTATAGAGTCTTTATCTTATCTGTTTCCTCTGTGTCTGTTTAACAGGATTGGAGAGAAGTTCTAAGAGATCCCAAGTGGAAGAAAGCCATGATTGAAGAAATGAGAGCATTGACAAAGAATAAAATATGAAAACTTGTTTCACATCCACATGGAAAGAAGATAGTTGGTTACAAATGGGTGTTCATTGTAAAACACAAAGTAGATAGATTGATCGAAAGGTACAAAGCTAGATTGGTGGCTAAAAGATTTACACATACCTATGGGATTGACTATCAGGAGACATTTGCACTTGTTGCAAATATTAACACAAATAAGATACTTTTGTTTTGCGTAGCTAACCTTGATTGGGATTTACAACAGGTTGATGTAAAAAATGCATTCCTCCATGGAGACTTAGAGAAAGAGGTGTACATGAAAATTTTACATGGATTTGAAGATGAGAGGATGCAAGGAAAAGTTTGTCAATTAAAAAAGCTTTATATGGATTAAAACAGTCTCCAAGAGCATTGTTTAAACGGTTTAGAATAGTTATGATCTCTTTTGGATATCAACAAAGCAATGCAGATAGTACCTTATTTATTAAACATCATGAGGGTAAAGTCACTCTTCTCATTATTTATGTGGATGATATTGTAGTGATTGGAGATGATACAAAAGAGATGGCTCGGTTGAATGAACTTCTTGCTCAAGAGTTTGAAATAAAAGATTTAGAAACATTGCAATACTTCTTTGGGATTGAAGTTATCAGATCCAATAAAAGGATCTTCATTTCTCAAAGGAAGTATATCCTAAACTTATTAGAAGAGACTAGTATGATGGGTTGCAAGCCGGCAGAATCACCTATTGAGAGCAACCATAAATTGTAAGCAGGAAGTGGTACATCAGTTGACTTGGAAAGATACTAGAGACTAGTTAGAAAACTCATTTATCTCTCACATACCAGACCTGATATAGCATATGCAATTAGTCTTGTGACCTAGTAAATGCATGATCCTCGTGAGACTCATTTACATGTTGTCTTCCGCATATTACGATACCTGAAGTCTGCACCAGAAAAATATCTACTCCTTTCTAAACATGGTCACCTTAAAATAGAAGCATTTACAAATGTCGATTGGGCTGGTTCCCTAAATGATAGAAGATCAACTACAGATTACTGCACACTTGTAGGAGGCAACTTAGTCACATAGAAAAGTAAGAAACAAAGTATGGTTGCTCGCTCCAGTACTGAGGCAGAATATAAAGCAATGGCTCAAGGAGTATGTAAAGTACTATGGTTGCAAAAGCTAATGAGGGAGTTAAAATTGCTTAAAAATGAGAAACTATCCACGTTTTGTGACAATAAAGCAGCAATTAACATTACTCATAATTCAGTTTAACATGACATGACAAAAAATATTAAGATTAAGATTGATCGACACTTCATAAAAGAGAAGGTGGTTGGTGGCTGACATTTTCACTAAAGGAGTATGCAACAAATCTCTTCATAACCTGATTTGCAAGTTGGGCATGTGTGATATCTTTGCTCCAACTTGAGGGGGAATGTTGATAAGAATTTTATGTTAAGTATAATATTATATTATTTAGAGTTATAATAGTATAATTATATCCTATAATTAGAGTTCAAATAGAATAAGGATAACTACTCTATATATATAGATATATATCTTTTAACTATAAACAAAACAAGGAATGAAAAAATTAAAAGTTTATTTTCTCTAAAAATCTTCACATATATAGATTTAAGTTGAAACGAACTTACATCACAAAACTAAGGATAGATAAGTCCTCCGAGGTAGGAAATGGTCCGGTGAGTGGAGTTGACTGTAATAATGAGCTAGACAAAAATCATCTTTTTAGACCGCATTAAATCCATTGGCAGCAAGGTATCTATGAACCACACTATATTTTTAATTATTTTCTACATCAAAACTTTCTCGAGAATCAAACAGATAATAGAAAGTCTCGTCATCGCTTTCACTATTCATTTTCGATCTACATGATTTTTTTTTATTTAAATTAATTAAAACTATTCCAAAATAATGTAATTCAGTTATCATATCAAATATCATATGATGTCTAGCGTGAATTAATAATTTATTAGAAGGTAACATATGTAACTAAATTTTACACGTATTATTTGAAATTAATACATCAATTAACGGGAAAATAAATCAAAAATATTTTTAAAACATATGAACTAATTTGATCGAGAATTGACATAAAAACTAATTTAAATAAAAATAAATAACGTACGAATCAAATCGTTATTTTAACTAATTTTTATTTTTATGAACTAGGATGCGATTTTATCTTAAATGATTTTTTTTAATTTTTTTTATGCAATTTTTATTTTTAGCATTATAAAAAAATCCCACTACTTAAATTTGCACTTTAAAAAAAAAAAATCAAAACATGATATAAAATATAATTCATTTTTATTTCTATATTTCATATATTTCCCAAATTTCCATTTAATAATTAGAAATTTATTCTTAAAATGGAAAACCTTTTTCATCAACTCAAATCCCCTCTCTCGTATTTGTGGTTTAAAGAACACATGCCTGATTAAATGTTTAATCACCATCGCAAGGGAAATTCTATGATGCCCAACTAATATTTCTTTGAACTTAAATGTATCACGCACACACCATTCTGGTTAGGCAGGACCATCATCCATCCTGGACTTGTCTTCTCCCCTTTCCTCCTAATTGGACATGAATAAGACAGGAGCTGGACCAGACAGCTTATGATTGATTGAACATGACGCAGAGGGTTGGAGCTACTTAGCTGCCTGCAACAAGCTCTGTCCCATGTAGTTCTATATGACACGGTTTGTGCACTTGTTTAGTCCCAGAGCTGCTGCACGTTCCCTCCCCCTCCCACCTACTCAATAATCTTATCAAACTAATAATTTCTTTTCGATAAAAAAAAAAAAAAAAAGAAAGGAGAAAACTTTATAAACCAAAAGGAGGTTTTCTGTAATATCACCCCAGTTAAAAGTTTATAATTTCCAAGCACTTTATAATTATAACAATAAGAATTAGTTACAGTAAATATTTTTCAAAGTTACTTTTTTTTTTTTTCTTTTTCCAGTTTTTTAATGCATGAAAAATTAAATTTTAAATTTTATTAAATTAATAATTTTTAATTATAGTTATAAAAATAGACTTAAAAAATATACTTATGACGGCTAAAAGAATAGTAAGTTGTGTTGCGTATTAAAATTTAACGTGGAGACGCTCTTGACAGGGATGCCAAAATTTCGTGACCTTGGAGGAAACCTACTCTTGGTATTAATGATTATTAATAGTAAAGTTCGAGAAATATGCTACGGAAGGAGAGGAGGGGGGGTTTTAAAGTGCGAGACTCTTGAGTAGATGAGATCGCGTAGCAAAAAATAGTTCACCCACCATTCAATTACTCCCCATCTCTCCTCTTCCTATAAATACAGCCTCGTTGTATAAGCCCCGGCAACAAGAAGAAGAAAATTAACTCATTAAATCCAGAGAGAGAGAGAGAGAGCGAAGAAGAAGAAATGGATCATGAGAAAGCCACAGCCTGTGTTCTTGATGCTTCAACTTATGTGGGTTTTTGGCTTGTCAAAGGACTTTTAAGCAAAGGGTACACAGTTCATGCGGCTGTTCTGAAAAATGGCAAGTTTATTTTTCTTTCTTCTTTTTTTGGGTAGATTTCTATGTGATTCATCTTGTTCGTACCCATCTTATTACTGGTTTTGGGGTTTTTATTGGAGGGTGTTTTTGGAGTTGTACAGGAGAGACAGAGATGGAAGGAAAAATCAGAGACATGGAAATGGAGGAAGAGAGACTTGTGGTGTTCGCCGTTGATGTTTTTGACTACCAGAGCATTCTTCTTGCTCTGAAAGGCTGCAGTGCTGTGTTCTGCTGTTTGGAAAACCAAGATGGGTATGATGTAAGTAAACAAATTGGATTTGGGAAGGGGGTAAAACATATACTTTTGATTAGAATTCTGTTCTTCTCGTTGCAATTAACTTGAATATTAAGGACAGTTTTAAGGTAACTCTCTATTTAGCGATGGTAATTGTCAGGTTTGATAACATTTTACTGTTATTTATTATTAATTTTTGGCTATAATTCTAACAATTAATGAGAAAACTAAGGAGTAATAATCAAGAAGCTTAGAAGATTTAAATAATAATAGAATATAATTAAGTTGTTGATGTTGAGTGCTCTTAACACTATGTTAAAATAGGATAAAATGGTGGATTCAGAAGTTAGAGGAGCAATCAACGTAGTGGAGGCATGTGCACAAACGGAGGGGATAGAGAAGATTGTATTCAGTTCTTCTTTGACTGCTGCAATATGGAGAGAGAATATTGATTTGCAGAAGGATGTGGATGAGAGGTGCTGGAGTGATCAAGATTTTTGCAGGAAGAAAAAGGTTTGGGTTCTCTCTTACTTTTAATATACATAATTAACGTTATGTATGTATGTAATATATATATATATATATGTATATATTTGTATGTTTATGAACTCCTTGATATATAATATGAGGTGGGTATTTTTGTAAATTAATGTTTGGTTATGTCAGCATATATGTAATATATTTGGCCTTATTCTTCCATTAAAAATATGGAGATAGAAGTCAACTGTCTTTTCTTTTGAAATGTCTTATTATAAACATTGTCAATATCTCCATATCTTTTCTGCCTTGGATCATGTATCTGGACTTATTTTTGACCATTCACTGTATGTTCTCGCTAATTGAGTTCTTCATAAGAAAAATACACATGTAACCTTTATTTATTTACATTTTCAGATGCTATTTTTAATATGGACTTGAGTTTTGCAGCTTTAAATTTTTTAAGACTGAAAATTTAATTTTTTACATTTTCAATTTAGGGTTTGAATTCCTATCATCAAAAGCATTTCAAAGTGAAGTTATACTAACTCAAACGCAATATGTTGTATTCTAATTATGCATATTAAGATTTATATAAAAGCTAAAACTAGTAATTGACTAAGAAATGGACCAAACACAGAGAGTAGTATCTGATGGGGTTTACTGACCTTTAATCTTCCGATTCATACTTCCAAACATAACATCTCTGCTTTCTCTGGTTCACAGCTCTGGTATGCTTTGGCTAAGACACTTACTGAGAAGGCTGCTTGGGCTCTATCCATGGATCGAATGCTTAACATGGTGTCTGTCAATGCCGGACTAGTTCTGGGGCCTGGCATTACTCAACAAAATCCTCGACCAACCATGTCTTATCTTAATGGTAAAGCTTCTGCACATCACGCTTCTTTTCATTTTGTTATATACACACACACATGCACAAAACCAAGTCCAGATGTTAGTTTGAAATTTGTTCTCTATATATTGTGTTTGTATAAAATATGTATGTGTGTTAACTTCAGGAGCTGCTCAAATGTATGAAAATGGAGTGCTGGCATATGTTGATGTGAGCTTTTTAGCTGATGTTCACATTCGAGCATTCGAAGATCAGTCTACATCTGGTCGATACTTCTGTTTCAGTCAGATAGTAAATACTCAAGAGGAAGCTGTGAAACTTGCACAAAGTTTGAGCCCTCTCATGTCCTTGCCTACCAGGTATGATTCTATCATTAAGCTGGTTACAAGGGGAAAAGAAAAGGTGAACTATAATTCACTCTCTTTGATTTAATTTCTATCGTAATGATTCAGTCTGTTTGGTTTTTGTCAATTTAACATAAATCATCAGTTTTTAAAGCTATTTTCTACAATTTGAAATTAATAGTTTCATGTAAAAAAAAAGTTAAAACTATAAGACTGAATTCTCACAAGAAAACATTACAAAGATTAAACTTGTTATGAAATCATTAAGGATCTGTAATCATAATCATGAGGACTGAAACTTCATGACTTTGTTGAATGCAGTTATGAGTTGCAAGGAAGTGAAGTGTATGCTGAAAGGTTGAGGACCAAGAAGTTGAACAAGCTAGTTGAAGGCACTCCATGTTAACATACAGACATATATATAATATGGAATGTGTTTATATACACACATATATATATATATATATGTTATTAATAACATTTGGTTGAGACCAAGAGAAGCAATTGAAGCATAATTTAGTCTCTCTTCTTTTTTTCTTTTGTCTTCTTTCGAGTCTCATCTGGGTTTTGCTTCTGTAGTTAATTATTAAGTTTTCAGGACATGAACAATTTAAAAAATGTGAAAAATTTTTATAAGAAAGACAAGAGCTAAATGAACTTGTCCTCTTACCATGGCTTTCTGCTTTCTCAAGAGACATATATACTTTTCTTTAAAGTAAAATGATATTTCTCCTACTCTAACAGAAGCATTTTTATGCAACTATGCTTATTGGCTGCACTTGATTTAATATACATATATATATATATATATATATATATATATAGTTCATGAACCTCACAAGTAATTTTTGATGATTTTGGGGATCACAGATTCACAGAAAAGTTTGGTAGGTTAAAAGTATCAAGTAAATATTTGCCGTTTATCATGTGGTAGGTTAAATTCTTAAACAGTAAAAGTTCTGAATCAAATATTATTTTAAAAACTTAAATTAATTTAAAATATTTTATTATTTACATAAAAAAAACATGATTTTAACTCACGTAATTTAGTTTTTTTTTTTAATACCAATTACACCTTATGTAATTTTAGAATTAGACCTTTAAAAAACTGTTTTATATAATAAAAAAAAATACCAATATATATTATATTTCTATTAATAGTTGAATAAAAATTTATATAAAATAACTCTTTTTGGGCAACCAAAAATAATTCAGATATTTACAGTGCAGTGCTGTACAATGTAGTAGCCAAAAAGTTCACCAACTTTCAAGTACCTTTAGACATTCCGCCTTTAAAAACACATTTAAGGTGTTTGTAAATTGAAAGGAGGACAAAGCTTTTGCTTAAATCCAAAAGCCTTTTCATCAGTGAAAAACCCTGTTATGATTAGAAACAAAAATCCATTTAACAACCGTAAAGAGCTAGAACGATATGATTGTATTTTCAGTTAAATTATTAATTCATTCATATCTAATATATGTAATAATAAATAGTATATAAGAAGTATGTGATGAAAAAAATAAATAAATTACTTACTAATATAATTATATTTATGTTTAAATAAATAATCAAATTAAATTTTTATATTTAATAAAATAAATAATAATTTGTGAGAATAAAAATAAAATTAAGTATATTATACGAAGGAATAAAGGAAAAAAAAAGTAACATGTCGGTTATATACTATCGATTCGGTGGTTTTAAAATTCATTTTAAATTTGGTGGTTCGATACAGTTTACTACCATTAGAAGTTGAAACAAACATGATTTTTTTAGTATCATACGTTAAAATCCTATCATTTATCACGATCTAAACAGGGTGTAAATAGATCAAAACCTGAGTTAAAATTCTAAATAGGATGATGAGATGGTAAACAGTTGTCAAGAAAGAGGGTTTTCCAAAAGAATTTGTGAAATCCAGTGTACTTAAAAGTTACCACTGTTATTGTTGTTGTTGTTGTTGCAGCTGGTGCAGGTTAAAATACATTTGTTTCTGAGCCAGAGCTGCAGTTGGCTCCTTTGCCTCCGAAGGGGGTCAAAAACCCATCTGCCCGTAGTAGTATGTTCCATTATGGTTTGCTTGTCTTGAGATTTTATCATCATATAAACTATTCAATGTTCTGCTCATTGTGGCTTGGTCGTATTGCAGTTCAAATCCAATGATCCTTTTTGTGACAATTCAGTATGCAATGACTGGATATTTTGTCATTTTATAGAACTAGTAATTAGGAGATGTTTGAACATATGTAGATTTCTAAACAACAGCACATAAAAAATCAAGGCCAAATAAATCAAAGCTAGATTAAGAGAACAGTCTAATAAGTTAATAATTTTGTGTCTAATGACAAAAAAACTAATGGACGAGACACAAAGTATTGAACTACCACCAAAAAAAACCTGCAGAATTTAAACAAGAATAAGGTTAAACCAAAAGGGCGAAGCTGTAATTTTTCTTTTATTTGTTTCTAATGAATATTCGTGGTTTTATATTTGAGTACATACTTAAAATGAATTCGAAAAAATGATTGTCATTTGTTCCAAATATACCCTAAAACTACACAAACTAGTGTACTAAAGGAGCAGCTAAAACAAAAGCCATTTGCAGAAAGCAAAATGAATGATAATAGAATGAATGATGAGTCTTTGTTCATATGTTATGGGACTAACAGATGTTTTCTCCACTTATGATTGGATCAATGATGTCAGGAAAGTGAAAAAGTGCAGAGATAGAAAGAGAAGTTGATTGCTTATAGTCACGAAAAACATACAAGAAATGGCAAGATAGAACAAGAGAGTTCAGCCGGATACTAATATATTCTCGGTCCCCAGATATGCAAAGAAGAGGTGAGCAATGAGAATATGAAGACACAAAAGAGAATATCGAGGAAGCTCACTGGACCCAAAAAAAAGAAGCTTCATGTTCTTGAGGGCAACCATCCTAGATTTTGTGAATATATGTAAGATAACACTCGGATGAGTCTTGCCAAGAGGTCCATTACCACTGTTTAATTTGAAAGCAGTGAACTGAGTGAAATAGAAATGGTACTGACCAATTTACTATCTGCAACAAGTGCCGACTCCCAACTTGCTGAATCAGGTCAAGTTTAAGACTTCGATTGGTCCTCTACAATATATTTAGGGGAAAAAATTGAAAGGGAATTCTTCTCTTCCCATTCAGATGCTCCCTCAGTCGGCTCATCCAAGTTCTGTGGAATGACAAGATACGCTGAGTAAGAATATTGCAGGATATCAAACAAAGATTTCACAGTAGCACAAGGGTTTCGGCTATGATTCTGATGAATGAAGACGGTATAAGATTAGCTCCAGAAGCAACAAATGCCACTGAACACGAATAGCATGCTTACTAAATCAGAGGACTTCTGAAGACCTCATCACCTCAAATCCTATTGCCTACTACATTACTCAAAGGAACTTCAGAAAATTAATTTTTTTGTCAGTGTTTTCCAGAAGTAACATAAGGTAAAGAAAAAATTATGCCTATTTTACCTTAGCGTTTTAATAAGACTCAATCCCTTACCATGGGAAATATGTTCAGTAATGTATTTTTCATAATCCTATTCTCAAACTGATTCCATCATTCTGGCCCAAAGATTAATCATTTAAGCTTCACTTTCATGTTCCAAAATAACCTGGATGGTTAGTAAACAATTTTCAATTTCAGCACTCACATGCAGTGTGGGTGGAGAATGTTTGCCAAGAGCAAAAACAAATCAAATTGCTAACTTCCAAATTTTGAGTTGCAGCAGTTGTTTTGGCAGAACCCATAGCATTTTTCAAAACAAGGATGACAAGACATCATACTGCTGTACTTTGAAACTGTAAATTCCATGGTGACTCCTTCACATAATCCTCCATAGCAGTCAAAACTGACGATGGTTGCTGCAGTATCATACAAGTCAAGGAAAAAGAAAAGATGAAAGAAAAATTGACCAATGAGAACTGAAAAGGAAATAAAAATAAATGAAAGGATTAAGAAATTATCTATCAAGTCTCTTTATCCACACATCTGAAACATGTTCAATTTTGATTTGCCCCTCTCCCGGCCCAAAATGAAGGATCCTGCACATCTCAAGTAACTTGGATAGTCTCTCTGCTTGCAGCAACCTGGTTCTTGAATGTTTTGGATATAAAATCTGAAATCACATGACTTCATATAGGAAGAAAAAAAAGACCAAAACTGGAAGTACATGAAGAACATAACATACCTGATCCCCTGTCTTTCTATATATTTCTAGTGCCCTGATAGCATCATAGTGCTTCATCCCAAAATACTGTAACAAAAATGTTTTTTAATTGTCCAGATCCTGAAAAGAGAAGTTACTATTAGAAAACAGAAACTTATACCAAAGCTCACCAAGACAACCAAATTAAGAATCCCATCATTAATTGCAGCATATATCTCGACACTTTCAGCTGCAACCTGAAAATAGGAATATCAGGAAGGCTTGAAGCCAAACGGTGCTATTTCTGGTATTAAGGTTTATAAACTTCACTACCATTGATATGGATAATGAATCAAGCTATTGTGTACAGAAACGAAAAAGAGTACATGTCTTTGTGAGCATATATTAAATTTAGTAATGTTACAGACAAAGACACCCACATAATGCACTGTTGTAACACCTTGCAATCAACAAGTTGAAAAAGAAACTGCCGCAGTGCAGATAATTGTTCCAGGAATTCAGGGGTGTCACGTTCCTTTTCTTCTGTTGATAAGGCATGAAAACGTGTTTTAGACCTTATCAGAATGAATGATGAAGTTCCAATAACATAATTGTGGTACATGAATCTATCACTTAGACAGGACACATCAAAATATGGCAGTCGGTGTTACTATTTTGGTTGTTGATACAAAGAACAGTATCCATAATAGGAAAATATAAACTAAGGAAGCGAGTTCCCTCATATTGAAGAAAAAAGAAAGTAAAGCCGAATGAATGGAAATGACTAGAAATTTAAACTTGCATACCAGATGATCTTTTTTCCAAATCATATTTCAATTTGCAGTAACATTCTAAACGCTCTTCAAGATATAACACATATGACAGAACCCATGCAGAATAATCCCAAGCTTGATATCAAAAAATCTTTCTCTAGTCAATGTCTTGTACCATGCAATGCGGATTTATGGCAAATAAGACAGGCTAAAAAACAAAACCTTCTGGACATGAATCATCCTTCAAACGTGACAAGTTAAGCATAAGACCTCTGCTTCTATTGTTGACTAGCTCTTCGGTAAATGTCACATGAGATTCCCCCAATGCGGGTTTATGACAATCAAGATTTTCAATGCGACCTGTGAGTGCTTTAGAGATGAAGCAGACTGAAGAAATTAACAAGACCAATGGAAGAGGAAGTACAAACAAAGACTACAATGAAGAATTAATATGATAATCCATAATAAACGTTCAATGATATTTCATGTTAAAAGTTTTTCATCTGTTAAGTGAATCTCTTTATTTGCTCATGAAACCGTAAAGATTGAAGAATATTAGATTTTTTATGCAAAATCCACAAC